ATTAGTATAAACCACGTCTATTTTAGTGCTTCGGGTAATATCTAATTACGTGGGTAGAATAGGAAATTAGATGAATTTTGAAACGCTTAGTATTTAAACCAAAAGTCCTATTGCTGTCTTCATGTTTTCTAACTCACCTAAGGCTTAAAACATTTGAAAAGTATACTAAAAGTAACTGTAATGTAAACATGAATTGGAGAATTGGTTGTCTCCTTGTGGTACTGTGTATGGCACTTCATGGTTCTGTCAACCATCTAAGAAACACATCACCATACACCTTCTATTTATACATTAATGCATGTCAGAATCCATCTTCAAGTTGTTTTTCAAAGAGAAGTCTGTGCTTGCTCTTATAGTTTAATTCTTTAATACTGTCCTTATTTTCTTCCCTAAGTAACGTAACTAGTACACAACTCATTTCCAAACCACAGTGTCTTTCAAAACTAAATATTTTTACCTTTTTTTAAAGTTTTTTTCTCCATAGAGAGCACATTTGGTATCTCTTGTTGATGATCAATCTTTAAGTGGTATAGTTATAAAAGAAGCTATTAAACTTGTCTTAATTTTTTGATTAGCTTTAATTAAACTCTTTAAAACATGTCTTAAGTTTGTATTTCTGAAAATTTTTTTAAGAGTTATGAAGTTGCAACCGCCCTAGAAAATCGAAGCCATAAAGTTCGGTATTCAGATACAGTGGAAAATGGATCAATTATATTTTCTCTTTCTGGTACAGTATATTTGCTAACTTCCTTGATTTAAGTTTCTTAATAAATAAGTGTAAATTCTAATAATTTGGTAGTTCAGTAACTGAGTAATAAGCTTAAGGTGTTACCTTTTGGGAGAGGTAAATGTATAAAACTTTGTTACTGCTGCAAAAGCAGTACATATGGCCAATTACAGAATATATTCCTTTTTAGATTACAATTGTTGAACTAAAGCTGAACCAGTGGAGTCTGGTAGAGGATGGTACAAACTACTTGCTTTGGAACCAAGTTGAAAATAGAACAAAGCCACCCTCTGCAACAGTCAATACTTAAAATATTACCCATATTAACAGAGACCAACATCACGATATTGGTCAAAATCCATATACAAAAACAATATAGAAGAATGTTTTTCATAATTTTGTACAAGAGTTTGCTGAACATAATATTGATATAAACAAATACTAACTAAAGGAAACAAATGGGGACAAATGTTCCTGAAATCATAAAACTGTACAACTGTGAGTCATGGGCAAAGTACAGGAAGGAATTAGATTAGGATATGAGAAAGCTAGGGACATGGGAAGGAGGCAGCTCCACTTGTGCTTGGAAAATGACAGAAGTGATAAAAAAAAAAAAACATGGAGGTGAAGGATTTTATTAGGATGGTTACAAACAGACCTGTACTCTAGCAGAGATTTTGGAAGACAGGCACTTTCAAAAGCTCCTAGAAATAGACCTCCAGGCTGAAAATGGTCCAACCTCAAATTCATCTTTCCCGGTTGAATAGAGAGCCCTATATGCAGTCTCTTATTTAATCCTTTCAACAAACCTATCAAAGAACTATTATTCCAACCTTACAGATGAAGAAATTTAGGTTCAGAGATATTATATAAATTTTTAGCTCAGGTTGATTCAATTAGTATAATCACATAGTAGCTTTCCTCAGATTGTGTCCTCCCCTCATCTTTTAAAGAGCTAAGTAGATTGTTTCCCTTCTGGACCATTCTTATAGGCCTGATACTGTTTCAGAGTTCCTAGATATCTGCTTACTGTTTTAATTTATATAATAGTTTATGTTCTGATATAAAAGATTCTCCAAGAAATAACTAAAGGCTTGCTTAAAACAACTTTTCTTTAGTTGATTTCCAGCTTTTAAAAATCATAACATGTAACTAAAATTAGGCATTACTTTCATTGTGGACAGTGCCTTAGAGTAAAAAAAAAAAAAAGGTTACTGACCAAGAAAGGGTTTTTCCCTTAAATATTTAGATTAAGTCATCCTTTTATATACAGAGCACTTCAAAGAACTACCTAATTATTTTGTCATGTAAGACTTTCATTATGGTAATTTCCATTTGTTATGGGTTTAGGGCCTGGACACTTACAGCTATGTTTTACTTATAGTTATTTTTGTTGATTTTACTGAGTTTACAAAAAAAAATTTTATCAGTATGACGAAGTGACATTTTATATTACACTCACCTTTCCTAGGAGTTGCATTTTTATTGATGGATGCTAAAAAATGCTTTATGTCTGCTGAAGAAACATTTCTAGCCAAAATTGAGAAGTTTATTAACATTCACCGAAATAGTTTTTTGGTTCTGTCTGCTGCCCTGCATGGGCCTGAGGAATGGAAACTGATGTTCAGGATTCAGCAGAGGTATGGACAACAGCACTACAGACCTATTTTCCTGAAATTATTTTATTTACTTCGATTCTGAATTATATTAGGCAAGCGAATTATGTTTTTCCAAAAGGTAAACTTTATAATGTTAACCTGTCCTATTTAATAAAATGCAGGCCAAATAGCTAGTCTATGAATCAGGGTGACAAGTTGCAGAGTGCATGCTGATATATGGGATTCTCCAGCAAGACTAAATCAGAAGTGAACACTTCTTAGTCAATTAAGTTCTGGCTGTAAAGCCATATCAAATCCTCTGTGGAATAAGGCAGGCATGAATGAATAAACAAATGACAAACAATAAGAGGTTTGTCTCTTCTTTCCACTTAAGATAACAGATGTAAGTCATATCAACTATTTAACTTTTGAATTTTTTTTTCCAGATTCCTGGGTAGTAACCTACGGATACTTCCAGTACACAACACAATAAATGCTATTAATCTTATGTGCACCATAGCTAAGGTAAGTCACCTGAGGAAAATGCCATACATACATACACACTGATACACTTCAAGGTTCTTGACTTCAAAATGCACACCCTCTTCGGTAGAACTGACAAATATTCTACTTCTGTTCCCCTCAGAGAGGTTGCTATTTCCAAACACATGCAACTCTTTCCCAAGCCTGAACTTAGCCTCTCAAGTCTTCTCAATTTACTTCCAGTACCAACTACCAGGATCACTCATTTAGGGCCAAAAGAGCATTTGGCCATATATATACAGTGTTGGCCCTATTGGTTACTTAAATCTTCTTTCAAATTCTAAAGTATAAATATTGGTAGTCATGAACTGTCAGAGTGCATACATACTATTTTATAACTTCACTGGTTATCCACTTTCTTTTCATACTTATTCTCCTCTGTAAAGTGTGCTCCCAACTCCCATAGGCAGTTAGGTGTTCCTTACTCTTATCCTTGGAACAGATCTCTGTTGAAGCAATTCTTAATAGTATTCTATTTTTTGGCTTGCACATCTGAAATCTCTTAAAGACAGAGATCAGGTATTTTTCTATTACTCTAATAACCCATATACAATACTGATTGATGCTTGTTGAATAAATAATGTTAGGTATTTTATGATGTGACCCTGTAAAAATACCTTATTTCTCAAATAATATTGCATGTTTATATCTTCTTCCAGATCACCTCCAAACCACACATAGATAGCATCTGCTACAGAATGATAACAACTAAAGCTTACATCATTGAGCAAAGTCCAGTTTGGAAAACACTTCAAAAGATAAAACTGAGTAGTGATACATTTAACCCAAATTAGATAATCAATTACAAATGTTCTTTTGGAAGAATATTAAAATAAAATACATACAATTAAAAATGATTTTATTTTCAGGAGTTCTGTTACTTCCTTTAATAATGTTCAGAAAAGGGACTTCCCTGGTGGCACAGTGGTTGGGCAACCGTCTGCCAATGCAGGGTACGCGGGTTCAATCCCTGGTCCAGGAGGATCCCACATGCCACGGAGCAACTAAGCCCGTGTGCCACAGCTACTGAGCCTGCATGCCACAACTACTGAAGCCTGCACGCCCTAGAGCCCATACGCCACAACTACTGAGCCCACGCACCACAAATACTGAAGCCTGTGCGCTCTAGGGCCCACGTGTTGCAACTGCTGAGCTCACGTGCCGCAACTGCTGAGCTCACGTGCTGCAACTACTGAAGCCTGTGTGCACCCAGACCCTGTGCTCTGCAACAAGAGAAGCCACCACAATGAGAAGCCCACACATCGCAACGAAGAGCAGCCCCCACTCCCTGCAACTAGAGAAAGCCCATGCGCAGCAATGAAGAACCAATGCAGCCAAAAAAAAAAAAAAATGCAGTATCTGCAAAATGCAATAAAAAATGAGGTATATAAAAAAAAGTTCAGAAAAAATTGGTACATATATTATAAAACTCAGATGCAGTTTCTTAATGATACAAATTAAGTTGGATGAACAAATATTTAATTGCAAATATACAGCATTTTCTAATTAGCCCCTTAGGTTAAAGGAGAAGTCATATATACTTCTTTATAATACAAGCCAGCCAGTATTTCTAAAATTAATCTTCACAGATGCTTTCACATTGTAACTACTGCTGGAGAGCTGGTGACTGATAGGACTCTGCCCCCTAAGATTCCTGAGGCAGGGAAAAAGAAGGAAATTAAGAGAAGTAGTCAGCTGGTCCAAACTCAAAATTTCTCTCTAAGCTCTCTTAGCTCTTAGTGGTGTGATAGCCAGTTTGATACTAGGAGTTCTAAAATGTAACACAGCATCTAACTGGAACATAAAGTGTATCAGTATTTTTATAAACTCACTACAACTGTATGAATGAATAAAGGCAATTCCAGTACATTTTATGAAGTCATAATATAAAATTATTGATTTGTATTGGATTTTCAATAGTAGTATTTAAATTACACATGGGCATTATTTACCATGTAGATATCTTTTTTTTTTTTTCATGTAGATATCTTTTTAAAACCAAACAATACTACTGATCCATAATGTGTCATTGCTGAAACGGATAAATGAGAAAAGCTACATTTATTTTCTATCAGTGTGTTTTACAGAAACGCTTTTATAAAGGTATTAAATAAACATAATGGAAAATATAGTATATTTCTAGTTTTTATTTAGGGGATGGAGCTTTCACTTTATCCCATATTTTCCTCAGAGGTAGACTTTGTTTTTATTTCAATGAGTTCTTCTACTCGAGCCAGAACACTTTCAATCAAATCAAATGTGAAAAGAGCTGAATGTAGGACCTGCAATGCCAAGAAAAATTAGTGTTATTAAGGCTGCCTTTAAAGCAAAACAAAGCAAAAAGAAAAGACTTCAGCTGTATGTAGCTTAGGAAAATTTCATATCTACCTTAAGCTGCATTTCAGGAGGCATATTCGGGATCTCTTCTCTACCTACAGTTATAGAACAAAGATCTTTAGACTTCTGGACTTCTGTAAGAGAAAAAAAAAATCGTGTCACACTTAATCATTAAAACAACTCTCAGATTTCAATAATAAATTTATAAGCTACTTTAATCATTTACTAACTTAAAAAATGCCAGTTATTTGTGTAAATTAAGCCTTAGTGTTTAATAGCTCAGGATATGCTAAAATCAAGCTATGAACAAACAAAAATATTAAAATTCTGCAACATGTGAATAAATGTTTAGGTGAATAGTATTTTGGCATGTACAGGATGAATGAAAATTTTAAAACTTTTTTCTTCAATATAAAATCAGAAATATACCTGTCACACTAAAAATGACAAAATTTTTAGTAATGCCTACAGAAATACCACCATAGTTAAATGGAAAAGACCACAAGATTATTATAATAGAATTGCTGACTTTAAAAAGTAATTCCGGATCTAAGATTCTTTTTCATAATTTGTACTGAGTAGAGGGTGAAGTGGGGGATGGACCCCACAATACTAAAGGAAGTACAATGACATCCAAACAGAAATACTTGTGATACAATTAGATTCTTAATCAGACCTTGAGGTTTGAAACCAGAATATGCTTCACTTTGGTTTAAATCTTTGTTAACCCAATTTCAGTGTTAACTGGCATACAGATTTGCCAAGAAACATTTTAATTATAAATAAAATGACTTAGCTATCACAGTTCCCTGTTTGCTCTAAGTTAGACAAGTACAAGATAAAGTTCTTTATTTTGAATATAAATGACAGTTCAAAAAAATATGACTAATTTTTAGACCTAACTGAAAATGAAACTTCACATTACCAACCTTGGCTATTTTTAATTTCTGCTTCATAATGTGCTTTTGACATATTAAGACCTGTATGGAGTGGCTTTAAGAAATTATTCTCAATCTTTTCGAGTTCTGTCCATAATCCAGTCTGTTTGGAAGAATTAATGAAACAATTAGTTATTTGGTTCAAGATGTATTGATTGCCTACTAGTATTAAACATGTGCTGACAGTTGGAGAAACAGAAATGAGTAAGACATGATCCTTGCCTTTCAAGGTAGAGTTGACTGTTTAATAATACATTCATTACTACATCTAGTTATTTTATCTAAATACCAATCAAAACAAAAATGAACTTGTTCATACACTCATTACTGTGCCATTTGGATAGCTCCTGGTTTTGAGATCTGCAACTTAGAAGTTTTATCCATGAGAAAATTATTTGAAAATAATCCACACGGTCTGAGACATCTTTTTTTTTTTATAAACCACCCCACAATGACTCTACCTTATAAGTCCCTTCAACTCTTTATCTTTCAAATGATATTCCTGTCACATATCTAGTTCCAGGGGATTCTTCTCTATTGATGGAAACTTTTCTAACACAAAGCTGATACAGACTTTCTTGGGGACCAATATACATGGAGATTTTACCTACCTAGGACAGCTTAGGGTTATTTTGTCATTTGTATTAGAGGTTTTTATTCCAAGAGCATTTCCTCCTATAGTACTACAGGAAGGGAATCATAAAGTCTTAATTTAAAAAAAAAAAGAAAAGAAGGAAGACAAAGAAAATTCATTGGTATTGCTAAGTTTCCAGGTACTTATTACAAAGGAAAGTATCTTAGGCAAAAAAGGGAAACTTAGGAATCCAATTATCCTTAACTAGAACTGGATCACATGAAAATCTATTTTGTAATGAACTTATTTTCATCCAGGTAGTATATAACATTTAACATATATAGCCCTCCAAAATAAAATCTACACATGTCTGTGTTGAATAATTTATAATTTCACTGTCACATATATCCTTTTAATTTAAGTCTGTCCTTTCTCATTATTCCTATTTTGCTAGGAAAAGTGGAGTTCTTGAGAGGAACTATCAAGAATCCAAAACCTCAAAAATATGCATACTTTTTCACTCAGAATCTATGAACTTAATCTGGGGAAGAATTAAATATGTATGTTATAATGATTCCACTGAAGAGATGTTTATAAAAATATGTTTAAGTAGTGAAAAGTTGTAAGTAATGACAATTTTTCACAACAGGAGCAGGGTAAATTGTATATCCACACAATGGAAGACTACACAGCCGTTAAAATAGTGTTCTTCAATACATATTGGTGAGTGGAAAAAAGGTTACAGCATGACTCATATAATATGATCTTTTTTAAAAAAGAAGTATGTACAGATTTGCTGGTATAAAGCCTAAAAGGGCATACACTATAATGTCAAAAATAAATGGTGAGATTTTGATTATTACTTTTTGCTTATTTATCCTGATTTTTAAACAATGAACCTGTTTTAATTGTATACTTTAAAAAACATTTTTTAATGTTTTTAAACTTCCATTGAAATTGTAAGTTTTCTTGTCCTCACATGGAAACGTGGGTTACGCATTAGTACAGCAGAAACTTCAACCAGTAGTCACACAGGATGTCAAGTATGTTACTCTACCACACGCACCCACTGCTCTCATTTCTCTTACGTTCCTCCCTCTCTCTCCAGCATCTTCTTTACCTTTCTCTATCCCGCCCCCACTTTTTTAAACGTTGTTTCCCTTTACCTCTAAGCTTAAAAGTAGAACCCACTACTACTGGCCAATATCATGGATGGCTCTCAAGGCTACAGAGGTTACTGATGACCCTCTACAGATTAAAACACATTCAGACATAAAGAATATAGAGAAAACACCTTTTTACTCACACCTAGCTTTGTCAAATGTAAACATCCTACCATATTTACTTTACAAAATACATTAGATATGGTTGAAGCCCTCTTTATCCAAGAGAAAGCCATTAACTAAGCTATGTAACATTTTCTAAAACTTGAGGTTTTAGTATTCTTAATTTATACAATATATCACAGTTTTTCATGTTTAAAACTTATACAAATGATATCACAGTGTACATATCCTGCGTTAGCTCCCTTTTGTTCAATCCTGTTTTTAAGGGTTATTTATGTTATAGCTCTAATCCTTTCATTTTAATTGGTATATAGACATCCCATTATACTATACCTTTTATCCTGTTACTAGTTTTTTTAGTACTTCAAACAATGCTCACTGAAATTGCTGCATATGTTTTCCTATTCACATGGAATAAAAGTTTTTCTAGGGTAGCGTTTTTCAAAATATTTTTACCATGGCCCACAGTAAGAAATATAATTTACATCACAACTCACATTTATTTATATAGTTGAAACAAAAGTTTCACAGAATGTCCTTTCTATTTATAACATCAAATATAGCCTGGTCCTTTCCTTTTTATATATTATTTTTTAATGTCTGGTGTATTAAGGTATCATTTACATACAGTAAAATAAACATTTTTTAGCTGTACAGTTCTGAGTTTTGACAAAGATATATAGTTGTATAACCACCACCACTATAGTTAAGTTCCCTTGTTCCCCTTTGTAGTCAGTTTTCTTCCCCCACCCCCAGAGAATCACTGGTCTGATTTTTGTTTATATAATTTTTGCCTTTTCCAGAATGTCATATAAATGGAATCACTACTGTGTAACTCTTTATAGTAGAGTGATATTGTGACTTATAATAAATATATACCGTATTTGGTCTCCATCCTGTTCCTGGCAAAGAGCTCCTAAAACTCTTGAATTTCCTAAGAACAGTAAAACTGTCTTTTGTTATTTATAACAAGCCCTTTCAGCCATGAATATGACTTTTGGAAAGCCCCTAATAAGAATGGGGGCTGGTTGCCAGAGGAATCAACCATGTGATTAAAGGGTTCCAACTTTCAGCTCCTCTCACCACAAACTCCTGGTAGGAGAGAGGGGCTGGAGACTGAGCTCAATCACCAATGGCCAGTGAATTAATGAATCATGCCTATGTAATGAAGCCTCCATAAAAACTCAGAAGGATGGGGTTCAGAGAGCTTCTGGGTTGGTGAACACGTAGAGGTGCTGGGACAGTAGTTTAGGAGAGGGCATGAAAACTCAGCGCTCCTTCCCTCATACCTTGCCTTATGCATCTCTTCCATCTGGCTATTCCTGAATTACATCCTTCTATAATAAACCGGTAATCTAGTAAGTAAAATGTTTTCTTGAAGTTCTGTGAACAGCTTTAGCAAATTAATCGAACCTGAGGAAGGGGTCGTGGGAACCTCTGACGGACAGCCAGTCTGTCAGCAGCACAGATCAATACCTGGGCTTATGATTGGTAACGGAAGGGGGATAATGTTGTGGTCGAGCCCTTAGCCTGTGTAATCTGATGCTATCTCCAGGTAGAGTGTCAGAAGGGGACTGAATTGTAGGACATCTACTTGGTGTCAAAAAAAATTGCTCGCTATGGGAAAATCACTACACATTTGGTGACCAGAAGTATAAGAAATGAAGTGAAATACTGAGAGTAGAGCAGAAACACCGGAATGTTTTTCCTCTACAGGTAGAAACTGACAAAATTATTCTAAAATTCATATGGAGAAGCAAAGGATCTAGAACAGCCAAAAATTTTTTTAAAGAAAAAAGTTGGCAGACTCACACTACTTGAGTGTAAGACTTACTATAAAGCTACAGTAATTAAGATAGTGTGGTACTAGTGAAAGAAGAGACATAGGTCAATGGAACAGAACAGAATACAAAAGTATATACCCACACTTACATGATCAACTGATTTTTGACAAAGGTGCCAAGACAATTCAAGTTAAGTATAGCCTTTTCAACAAATAGAGCTGGAGTTGAAACAAAACCTTAACCCATACTTCTTCACCATATAAAAAATTTACTTGAAGTGGATCATAAACATAAATATAAAATCTAAAACTATAAAACTTCTATTAGAAAATTTGTGACCTTAGGTTAAGCAAAGATTTCTTAGAACCCCAAAAAGCATAAATCATTTAAAAGAACAAAACTGATACACTGGACTTCATCAGAATTTAAAATTTCTGCTCTTTGAAAAATTCTATTAAGATAATGAAAATACAAGCCACAGACTGGAAGAAAATATTTACAAAAACCAAACCTAATAAAGGACTTACATCCAGAATATAGGAAAAAGTTTCCTTTAAAAAAAGTTGGTCTAAGTTGAAAAAATTTTCTTTCACTCCTACTTAGTAATAGAAATTATTTGAAATCTCATTCCCAAAATGATAAATTTAATGTCTTATATTCATTCTTTGGTGTAAATGAATAACTAAGCTTCACTAATTAATTTTCTTCAGCCAACAGGTTTAACCTAACTACTGATTCAGGATTTTTAAAAGGAAATGTATCTTTTATCAAACATTTTTCTTGAATGTTTTAAATTTCTCCTTTATAAAGTAATGATTAAAAGTTTAAAACAGAGAAATGAGATGTAACAATATATCTAATTTTATATTCAGACTGAATTCATTAATAAATTCTATTCAGTAATGTCAGAAACATATATTAGTTAAAGCAATTACATTTAAGCCTTCCTTCTATAACAGTAATGTCTTCTACAACCGACAAGATAAGTTTAACATACTGAAATATATAATCATGTCTTCCTGCGGTTTCAGATTTCATTTCTTAGGCATGCCAGAAAATCAGACACATGTCAATTTTGCCACTCAATATTATCTTTGAAAATATCTGCCACATAAGATTGCTTTCCAACTAGAAAAACATGAATATTATTCCTGAGTTCTTATGTCCTACTTAGAACTTTCCATAGGAACAATAAATGAATTTTGATATGATACAAGGGTCATGCTTAGCTCTAATCACTGAAAAAAGTTTCAAGAGTTTGGTTAATCAGTGAACCTTTAAAATTAACAATTTTCACCACTTTTACAAGATATTTATAATATCCAGAGGGATTTCCTTGGATACCAAAGCTTTCCAAAAAAAAAATACACTGACTTCAAACAACTTTGGTAGTGCTTCTGACAATTTAAAAAGATAATTGCCCATAGTTCTGTTACTTGTCATTCCTGTAAAAAATTTT